TGACTACCAATTAACATATATTAACTTATCTATAACGAAACTTAGGAGGTACTACAGTTCGAGTAGAACCTTTCTATGGTGATAGATTACAAGACCCCTTAAAGTGAATGGAGGACTTTGAAAAAGCTGCTTGAATAAATGATTGGGATAATAATCAAAAAGTCACTATGCTAAAAGTTCATTTACGAGATGATGCAGAGGAATAGTGTGAAATGACAACTGTTACCACTTGGGCAGAATGGCTTCAAGCCTTTAAAGAATTCTTTTGTACCTTCTGATGGATTAACAAGTGGCATTGAGAATTAGAGGAACTACAACAAAACAGTGACGAAGCCATTGACACTTACTATACTGCTCATAGACGACTTATTAGAAAAATTAATAAAATAGCCAAAATGCCAGCTGCTGATCAAATGCGTTATTTTGTGAAAGGCTTATGACCAGAGCTCGCACCAATAATTATGATGAACGATCCTATTGATGTCGCAACTGTAGTGGACCTTATTCGAAAGTATGAAGTAGGTGAAGATGTAGTAAAACGAAAAAAACCTCACAAGGCTCGAAAGGAACTTGACTCTGAGTCTGAAGAGGAAGTTAAATTAAAATGAAAGGAATCCAAAAAAAGGAAAGAAAAATATGAAAAAGGAGACTTGGATGACCTTGTCCGAAAATTTGAAAAACTCCAAATCAATTTGACTCAAAAACTTGATCAATTGAATAATCAAACAAACCAATAGGAAAATAACCAAAACTTTTTTCCTTCAAATAACTCAGGCAATTAATACTATAATAATAATATTCGGCCTTTCAATAATCAAAATAACAACAATAATTTTCGCAATGAACGGCCCCTCCTGTTTGTTATAACTGTAGACAAGAAGGACATATCTCTCGAAGCTGTAATAACCATAACCGAAATAATAATAGTAATAATAATTATAATAATAATAATAACAATTCAAACAATAACAACAACTGTAACAATAACTGGAATAATAATTATCAAAACATTCTAGTTAAATTTGCTAAAGTAACAAATGATAATGATTTCGATAGTGATGAGAAAGGATTATTGAATCAACTTCTGGAAGCTTATCTCGGTAAATACGAACGAGATGAGGACAGTTCTGATGAGGATACTAAAAAGCCTCGAACTGGTGATTATTTTAAAATTCCTGAGGTAAATACCTTTGGAATCCCCTTTCAAAACAAATATAAGACTAACAACAAAGCTAAAACTGAATTGAAAAAGGGTTCCAAAGAGAAAAAGTCAAAGGGAAAACTTACAAAAAAAGAAAACAAGGAAGTACCCCATTTATTGTGTACTAAGAAATTTGATATTATCGAACAAATATAAAAACAGGAAGCTGGAATTACTTGATTACAGTTATTCCAATTTTCTGGAATAAAGCGAGCTTTGTTAAAAAACTTAAAAGCCTCTCGGAAAGTTGATGGTAAAACTGCTGCTCAGGAATATCAACCTCAGGTAACTTCACTTAAATGTACTGTCCATATTAATGGATACTCTGTACCCGCTATTGTTGATAGTGGTACTGCAGTAAGTATGATTACTGAGGATACCATGGAACAATTGAGATACTCTGTGGATAAACCCTCCAACAGTATAATTTTACCAGCTGTAGGAGAAAACACTCGACTCTTGGGAGTTATCCGCGACTTTCCTGTAACTGTAGGAGGATATACCATTCCTATTGATATTGAAGTAACTAAATCTACTACTTACAACATTATACTAGGAAACAATTGGCTTTTAAAGGCTAATGGTAATTACAATTGGCAAAACTAGGAATTAACCTTAAAATGGAAGAATAAATATTTAACTCTATCTGCCTCCTGTGTGAAAGGAAATATTATAGAAACTCCTGAAACCACTAGTGACGAGAACGGTAACTCTTCTGAAAGTGGACATGAAAATAAAATTGAATCAGAAGGAAGTACTTCTGATGACAATAGTGATATTGATATGACAATGATAATGATATTTTTGAGGATTGTGTGAAATACACTGATGAGGAATCAGCCTCTGAGATAAATGAAAAGGATAGTGAAGTTGATAATGAATCAACTGACGAAGAAATCAGTGACAGCATTGATACTGAAACTGATGATGATAACAATAATGAAAATGATAATAATGGCCTAGAGGAAGTTCCTGTAATGATGGGAGATTCTTTAACTAAAGCCGAATTAAATATTGGAAAATTGAGTCCCAAACAAAAAAACAAATTTGATGAACTCATTAACAAAAATAAGGATTTGTTTGCAAATGATATTAGTCAGTTGGGACAAACTAATATAATTCAATATCAAATTAATACTGGTGTCAAACCCCCTATTAAACAAAAATTTTATCGAACTAATCCTGTAGAGGAAAAATTTCTCAAAGAAGAAATCGAGCGACTACTGCAAAAGGGACTAATTGTGAAATCCTTTAGCTCCTGAACCTCCCCTGTAGTTATTGTTAAAAAGAAAAATGGAAAATAACAACTTTGTGTTAATTATAGAAAGATTAATGCTATTACCAAAAAGGATGCTTATCCCATCCTTCGAGTAGATGACATGTTAAGTGCTATACAAAGAGCAAAATAGTTTACTACCTTCGACTTAGCTAGTGAATATTGGCAAGTTAAAATGAACCCTAGCGACTAAGAGAAAACTGCTTTTATTGTTCAACAAGGAACATATGAGTTCACTGTAATACCCTTTAAACTCACCAATGCCCCTGCAACTTTTTAATGACTTATGAATCAAGTCTTTAATGGATTATTATATAAAGGTGTCATTGTATACCTAGATGACATCAATATCTATTCCAAAACATTTGACGAACATTTATTAAAATTAAATGAAGTATTGGACCGATTACGAGCCGCAAGACTTAAACTAGAACCTGATAAATGTCACTTCCTACAATGACAAATTGAATTTCTTGGACATATTATCAGTAACCAAGGAATCTCTACTGACCCCGCAAAAATTAATAAAGTTCAAAATTTTCCTCGACCTAAGGATATTACCAAAGTACAAAGTTTTTTGAGATTAGCTTCCTATTATCACAAATTTATAAAGGACTTTTCTCAAATTGCTCGACCTCTACACCAACTAACTCGAAAGGATAAAATCTTTAAATGAAAAAGTGAGCACCAATGTGCATTTGAAATCTTAAAGGAAAAATTAATCACTTCTTCTATATTTGCACACCCTGATTTCTCTAAAATATTTTATTTATTAACCGACGGATCTGCTGAAGGACTTAGCACAGTCCTAACCCAATTAAATGAAAATGGCTTGGAACAAGTCATTGCCTATGCCAGTAGAAGTCTACAAGGCACACAAAAAAATTACTCTGCAACTAAATTGGAATGTTTGGCAGTAATCTGGGCTGTTGAGCATTTTCACCACTATTTGGAAATAAAACTTTTTGTTATTCTCACTGATCATTCTGCACTTATCTGGTTATAAACAAGTCCCCTAAAAGGATGACGAGCTTGATGGATGTTACGTTTACAAACCTATAATTTTGAAATTAAACACAGACCTGAAAAGGAAAATAAAAATGCAGACGTCTTGTTCAGGATTTAATTTTTACAAATTATAAAATTTATTGAAATTCTGACGATAAACTCAATACAGTCTAGGTAGTCAGTGTCCTAGCAAAAATGGATTTAATTCAATATCAAAATATATATTCTTATTTAAACATTCAACAATACCTAGGGTTGTTAACTGGAGCATAATGTTCTGACATCAACTCGGGTTATGTATCACTCCGTCACGGAGTGGATTAAGATTTCTAATTTTTTGTACTAATCCAGAGCAAATTATTTATTATAACCTGAGTTACTATATAATTTTTGCTCCGGATTGTTCCGGGTTACTCCAGGTTACTTCAGGTTGCTCCAAGTTATTTTAGTAATTTGATTGGTTAATCAATTAATAAAATAACAATTTACATTCGTGTTTTGATTT